TGAACCTCCCAACACCCCACCCACTGAAGGCTCTGGGTCTAGTTTAGAAACCTGAGGGCCTCAGAACAGGGGATCCATTGTATGAGATGCAGTCCCTACACAGCAATCAAACGCTGCTCCTACCATACAAAAATAATTCCACACGCCGAGTGCAAGAGCACAGGGCCACCAAAGCACCATCTTTGGAATGCGGAAGAAAATATAAGACAAAAACGAACAGACTGCCAAAAATGAGAGAAAGAACGAGAGAGAAGGGAGGAAGGGGCTGTTAACCCCTTTCCTACTGTGTGCCACATATGTGGGCTGACCCAGACAGGCAAACAGGCAGCATTACTGAGAAAACCTCAAACCATCCCACAGAGAAATTCATGACTGCTGTATGAGAGAGTGAGAGTGAATGAGAGATTAGTGGTGAGAGAAGCAGAGACATCACAGCTGACAGTTTGGTGGAGGGAGCCTTGGCTATGCTGCCTATTTATTTGGATGGCCTCTTCCTCTCTCAGAAAACAAACATGTTCCCGGTAATCTGACAGCACAGTGGGAGGACTGGCCAACAATCAACCTTTAAGACCCTCACTTTCTTTTTCAATCTGCAGTCAAATCTGCCTAGGTTACATAACGTCCCCCTTGAAAATGTCTTTTCTCTTCCTTCTATGACTCATGGGTCTTTCAAAAGGCCCTGTCCTCCACTTTGGCACGTCCAGTAGTATTGACAGATCTTTGAGGGCTTGTTTGGCATTGTGATGGGCCACCATTGGGCCACTGCTGTTTATTCTGTAGAGCTATACCATGCCATTGCCTCAAATGTGTGGTCTGAGCTTTGTCAACAAACTGAGGGCCCCAGTCATCAAGGAAGACAAATGGGTTCCAGTCAACAGCCATCTTTTCAGCTTTATAAGTTAACGCTGTACTGAGTAGCCCATCTTTACACCAGTCTTGCAGAAATTTCCAAAAGCACATTGTTTAACAACTGTGTTGTGCAAAATACAACACAACTGCTCATTCATACTACACATTGAAAAACTAATTGCATTATTAATTTACTAATGTCTTAAGTGTGAAATACTGGTAGAAGTTATTTGTTGCTTAGACTATTTTTTACTCAGCTTCTTTAAAGATATAGTCCATGATTCTAATTTATTACTCATTTTGTCAAATTTTGCAAAAATTACCTTACATTCCTCCTTGTGTCCATATAATAATGAGTGAGCTCAAAATTCTACAGGTATTGTAGACAGAATACATTTCAGTGGTTTGTTTTTTTTTTTTTTTCATTAAAGTTAAAAATGTCACTGGCTGAAATCCAAGGAATTGCCGAACTATCATTATCAACAAGCTTAACTAGCATTTAGCTTTCAAGGACAATTATTATGTACCTCTAAGCAGCTTCAATTACAGCCAAGCTCATTCCAGTGTTTACATGAATAGCAACTGCTTATTATCTACCTCCACTTATGCTAATGAGATATGTATATAAATTCTTGCAGCGCTAAGTGTCTGAATCTCAGGGAGCAGCCACAGACTGGTGACTAACAGCAGACAGCTAACAGTAAAGGGCACGCAGCCAGGTTGTTGAGCCCCTATGCACCAGTGATAATCTGCCAGTGGAGAGCTAATGCAAGGGGAGCCCAATAAAAATGTTGTGAAAGGAGAAAGAGAGAAAGAGAAAGCAAGAGCTCTCCAGACCTCCTTTTTCCCTACTCAGCCTTTGAGCCCAGATGTTTATGGTCTGTATAAACTATTGAGGGCGCGAGAATGTCCCCCCACTCTAGAGTGAGCTGCAGAAGTGCAGAAGCCCAGACTTATCACTCTCTCTTTCTCTCTCCCCCTCTCTCTGTCTTGACTCCCTCTCTGTAAATCCATCCCAACGCGCAAGTTACAGCGACAGCTGGGAAACAGAACATTTGCTACTTTCCAGTGGCAGTCAGTCACAACCATCTCAGACAGTTTTCACACATTTCTAAAAAAAAAAGTTCACCCCTCCTCCAATTTTTCTTTTAATACACGTATAGCTCACTCTTGCTTTCTGTAACGGTTTCTCTTGTCCTCAGATGACTACTGTAACATCTATCTGCCAAAGATGTTTCTTCATCCAATTTCTACTATTATGTTTCTTTAGATCAACACTAGATTGCTCAAAAATCTCTATTTTATTACTTTTCATTTCTGCCTTCTCCCCCTCTCTCTCCCCTCCCTGTGTGTCGGAGGATACAGTCTCTCGTTGTCTGAGGTTTTTTGCTCTGCTCCGTTTCCAGCACATGTGGTATCAAACTGACCTACATGGGCACGATAAAGCAAACAGTCCATGGTCCCTCCCTGACAGACTAATTTGAACAAATTCTCAAATTGCACCCCAAATTGAAAGCACATTGGGGTGCGGGTGGCCATCACTTACAAAAATCTGCATAAGTGACCAACAGTGAGGCCAAAATAATGCACGGGCAACTACCCTTGTTACTGTAAGCAGCTGGTGTAGCCAGACAGATGCTCAGATTGTGCCCAAGATTGTACAAGTGCGTGTGAACAATATTTCTGCACATGACGTGGCTGGAATGTTTTGTTATGGTATGGCTGCAGAGTGGGGAAGCAGGTCCCTGCCCTGAGCTGAGTGTACATGCAGGGCTTAATGACTTGAAGGAATGTAAATCAAAGCTTCAATAAACAGAATCAAAAGCGCGCATGATGCACACAGATGTGTATGAAATGACTGCAGTACCCCCTTGGATATAAATCTTATGGGGGAGGATAGTGGTGCTATAAGAAAGAGTGGCGAATGGGGCTGGGGGAAGACAACATATGACCTGTAATCACTAATACTTCCAGGGCTTGGCTCAGCCTTCACCCTTCCTCTCTGTTTTTCTTTATTCTGGAAGCTCAGCCCAACTCCAGCTCTCCTGAGTGAAGCCAGAGGTCTATTTTCTGGATGGGGTTACTACTCGTGTATGATTGTGTTTGTTTGTGCTGCGGGGAGAGAAGAGAGAATGACTTTAGTTTCTAAATCATCAGCACTGAAGAGTCAGCATAAAGCTTCAACCCTCCTTCTCTTGCTTCTCCTCCCCCTCCTCTTTTTTTTCAGTCTTCCTTAGACATTCATTTACCATCATGGTTCCTCTTGCCTTTAGGCTCCCAGTGGCAGTAATACACAATGGGTCCAAAGAAATTTCACCTGGCAAGTGGAGAAGATTCTTGAAACATCTCAACTGTTTCCAAAACACACAAAGTCTAAAAAAAAAAAAGAAAAGGGCAGCAATCGGCACAGTCGTGGTGCAGCATGCCTAAGCTGTGGCTAGCTCTTGCAGCCATAATGAAAACTGCTCTGCGAAGTGTGCCCAGTGGCGGTCAGACAGATCCACCCGTTGCAGCACTACACAATGAGGCTGTTATACTCCTGACAAGCATCTCTCTTTGCCCAGATACTGTGCATAGAGAAAACTGTTGACACCCACAAAATACAGTTCCCATTACATCATGCCGAGGCCCATCTCACTTTTTTGGGAGTAATGTTAAATTTAGTTCAGTCACTCCACCCAGCACTGTGTCGTGATATTCTGCAGCCACAACAGATGCAGCTCTCACTATTTTATAGTATAGAATGTAAAGAATTCAAAGATGGGACAAACTGTTCGCTGTATGTTCAACAATCACATTACTCATCTTCTACTTATATTCCTAGTAAGAGGCTCAAGCCTGACGGCTGAACTAGACATCACTGTGTATTCAATCCAATAACTCCAGATGTCACATTGAATTTTAAAATGTAATTTGCATAGTGAGAAAATTGGCTTCATTTCCCTGCCAAAACATTTGAAGTAGGATTGCACTGAAGAACTCTTCAAAGGTAAGAGGCTCAAATGAAAACTGCGGATCAGCTTTCTTTGCTGTGCTGAACACACAGGCCTAGCATGATTCCTGAGGCAATGCACCTGGGCTTCATCTTTCTGTGGACCATGTGGGATAAGGCACTGTAAAGTGTAGTGGGGAATGTAGTTGATGGTTATCTCAAGAGGAGAAGAGACCATCTTGGTTTCCACAGCTCTATTTATTATAGGGTAGACATTACAGGGAAATGAGCTTCCAGTAAAAGTAATTTCTTTACTGATGCTAACATGAATCTAGTGTGCTGACAAATAGAGGTGTTATATTGTTTGCCCAGCTTAGGCATTTTCTTACTTTGGCTTTACATCCAAAAGTAGAGGAAAGTTTATGAAAAAGGGTTTGAATATCTTGAGGATTCAGTTTTCTTAATATTTGTTCATTTCTCTATCAATCATTTGTCCAGTAGGTTTCGTCCAGCATTTGTTCTAATGACCAATCAACTGATCAGCATCCATTGTTCCCCTTGAGTTCACTCTTTGATTATTGTTACACTTAATCTGCACAAAATTCACTTACTTTCCCTGAGGTAATTGAGATGAGAGAGAAGCACTTCGGCGTTGTACATGGTGGTGAGCCTGAGGAAGTCGTCCTTGCTCATCTTGCACAGCTCTTTGCCGTCTGTGTTCTGAAACATGGCTGTGTCAATCTCTAACAGGCCATACTCCTTAATAGCCCATTCTAGCCACTGGCGCACATGGTCTTGGGACCACAATGATGGGTCTGCAGGAAGACAAGAGAAGAGATAGGACGTTTATTGACTGCAAAGTAATCTGTTGTGGAGAGACAGCAGGGAGGACAGTGCTGGGAGAGTCTCACTGACGATCTCACTGAGGTATATGTTAGGGGTGTAAGTGGTCAAATTGGAAGCAGGATTTCGGTAAGAGCCAAAAATCAATAACAGACCTTGTTCAGATGGTTGTAAATATTTTTTGTACTATTGTAACCACATGAGCTGGGTTTTCCCGAGTGACAGGGCTCATATTAGGTTTCAGGTAAATCATCTTTCACAGAGTAGTATTCATTCTGAAACCCCTTCCTGTGATTTTTCAAGTATGTGTTGCGTTGTCCCATCTGGCAACAAAGTAAGTTAAAACAAAAAGCTAGTATCTGCAAGTACTACTTGACCCAATAGACGAGTAGCCTTGAATAGCCTTTAAAATGGAATATTTACCAAGCATCCATTTGATTTTAATTAAATGAATTACAGCATATAGATCTGCCAGATAAACAGACATCTCTACCTGCATGCATTCAGCCATGTACGGGTGACATAAAATACTGGAATGATGCTTTAATCTATGGACTTGCTCAGGTTAAGTAGTGACTGGCCCAACTGGCTTGTAATGGCAGTCACCTGTGAGAGTCGGTTCCTCTCAGTTGTCCAACCACTGACACTGTTCTACCAAGACTGTCTAACAAAAGAAGACTTTTAAGAATTCCGGTGAGTCTGTAGCTATATTATCACCAATACCGACACAAGTTCTGTGTGGGTGTAGGAGTGAAGGGAAGTCTACAGGGTCATGAGGTGGGCACCCTCTCACTAACTGGTGTTTCACTGAATTGGGCCCATGACACAGAGAAGGCTCAACAGTGTGTTCCAGTGCCCCAGAATCAACCCCTCTTTGTTTGCACTTGCACACCCAACACAACCCTTCATCTTCTCAGGCTAATTCAGGCTAACTGTTATCAAGCAGTAACTAACACTAGGAAACATTTTAGCTGCTGTTCTAGCTACCAAACATTTAAAATAACTCATAAGACATTTCAAATAGCTCACCAGATAGCTAGCTAGACTTCTGCTTCCTTTTATAATGCATCAGAAACCACCCTGTGTTAATATTCATTCCAAGAAACCAGTCAAACTTCTACTATGCCTTCATCTTAGCTTGCTCATGCTAACAAAAGGAAGTAGGCATCAAGACTGCTGCATGTATCAAACACTTTTACTAAGCCTGTGGTTCTTTGCTAGTTTATTTAGTCTTAACAGGCATAATCCTCACATATGTTGCCATTTATAAATCATTTATCTATTTTTTACCCATTAGACACACCTTTCTTCTGCTTTAGAGCCACTCACTGGATCTTGCTGTACTATCAGCTAGATTCCTAATTACCTGTCTTAGGCTCCAGCCTTTTATACTTAACTCATCGAGCAGAGAGGCAGCTGACTTGGCAACAAATCTTCTACAACCAACCTCCATGGAGCAGACTATAACTTTCCAGCCATGCTCCTCTGCTTCCATGGCTAATTCTGTGTACTTCAGATTCTTCTCATAAACTGTATCTACAGCATCCTCCCAGAGAACCATAAACTCGACAAAATACACAGTCCACTGTGCTTCTGACCACAACACAAAGTCTGTTCTGAGGTCAGTGCAGACTATCTCCTCAGGAACTATTATCTAAGTCCTACATCTACTTTCACTTGCCAGTCTCCCCCTGCCTTTAGCTGGCCTGCATTCTTCCTGTTCAAAATTACTTGTTTCCTGCCTTTTTCACCCTCTCAAACAAACAAAATTCCCTGTTGTGTCCTCCTCTCTTCCACTGAGTTTACCTCTAAGTGTCTACTTTCAATAGCTGCTACTAAACATTTCAACACTTGATTATGTCCCCAGGTGTAACATCCTTGATCCAGGCTTGTTTTACACCTTGAGAGAGTGTGCTGAAGTGATGCTACACCTGAACACAAGGGACATGTTGGGTCCTCACCTATCCATCTATTCAGATTTTGGGGAGACAAAAGCACATCATAGGAATGAATTTAATCCTTCTTGCCTCCAAGTCCCACATTTCCCTCTAACTAAGTTTCTTCCTTTCTATATCTTCCCATCTCATTCACAGCCCCTCCTGAGCCTGATAGAATGCATTTGCACTTCTACCTGCCTCTTCCTGCCTCTTAATCTCCTCAATAACCATCGTCCTTCTCTCAGCTGCTGCTGGTTTGCTTCAGGAAAGTTGTGATCTGCTTAAACGAAAACCAGTGGCCATAACATTCATGGCAAAAGATCAAACTGCAGGCACCACAGCTTGAGTTTGCCTGGGAGGCCTGATGCCTCTATGCTCTTAATCCCATCAGCTGCCTGCTGTCTCAAGCCCTCAATCTGCTCTTTATCACTAAGAGCTGCATCATACCACCTACCTAAACCTCTGACTGGTTTCTCTAACACTGTTGGAATAGGCTCATCATTTATACAAAACCTTTCATCCGACCTTTCACTGTTGAAATACTCCTTTATTTCTCTGGACCAGGTTTATGAATGCAGACATAACTATCATTCATCTCATGTCAGATGTGACTTGCTTTTGTTTTCTACAGTTTTATACAGCTGGTCCAAAAGCTATTACCTGCAGGTACAATGACTCTTCTTTCATTGGTGGTCATGTTGGGGGGAGGGGCATTCTTCTCATCCATGTAGTTTCCATAGTTGATCTGTGATGTGTCATTGCCCCCCACCAGTTTATTACATTTACCAACACTGCAATCCACTGGAGACTCCCTGCTGCATAAACACACATACACAATTAAATTGTAAAAATATTATCAGTGGATAAATTGGGTGTTGTTGGGTTTTCTTTTCCAGCCACTGACTTTGGCATGGGGTATTTAAGCCCTACACTGGCCAGGGCTAAGTAAACTGAAGATTAGAAGCATAAGTGAAGGGTAACTGTAGTGAAGAAATGGCCTGTTGAATGACAAATAGCGCCCTTTATATAATGAGCACCAAATGTGTAATATATCTTATAAAAATAGATAAAAAGTCCTATCTTACAGAACAATGTAAGAAACAGGAAGTGGTTGCCATGCCATACCTGGATCCGTTCATGTGCTCATATTCTCTCTTGACGTTGACCCGCACTTGCTGGTTGATCCACTCCTGCTGTGGGGGTAGGGGGTTAATTTTGTGAGTTTGGCCGTAGTCCTGTGTGCCAGATGCAGTCATATCTGTCTTGGGGAGAGGGGCAGCAGCAGCGTATGGAGGCTCAAATAAGGATTGGTCTTCACTCACCACTGATAGTGCCTCCTGTAGTTTGAAGGACCAAAGACATTTTAATCTTTTTAGAATCACTTTACAAATGAGAGTATTCAACCCTGTAATAAAGGCTGACTTCATGACTACAGTATGTTCAGTTCTACCTGTAATTTAAAATGGTAATTTTATAAAACTGTTTTTAATTCCAAAACCCAGGTGTCATTATAAAAATACTACCCTGGAGTTTCATTTTCTGTTTTTCTTACTCCTATTCCTGTCACAGTTAAGCAGGTGAGGTGTTATAGACAGAAAAACTATGAGAATTTAACATGCTCTACAATTTACATTCTATGACAGAGCACACTGCTGAGCATCACCCATAGGTGGCCACTGTCACCTCAGCAAAACAGCCCCAAAACGTCTTCCAGAGCACCCCTGAAATTACTACACCACTAAAAATTGACCTAAATACCACCCACAACAGAGATACATAAAAAATATTAGTATAGATATATAAAAATAGCACCTGCATTTTTGAATTAGGAGTTATATATAACTGCTGAAAGTCTTTGAACATTATTGAAAGATTTTTTCCCATTTGGGGAAATGTGCTCACTATGGTTACAAATCCTATTTTAAAGACTGCAGACAAAGGTGAATGCTCCACCCTCGTATTGTTGGATTCGTCTTCAGCCATGAATGAAAGACTCCAGCTGTGAGTTGGTGTATCTGGAATGATGGTATGATACAGCTGAAATAACTGACTTATCAAACTGAGGTTTTGTTTCTATTGGTGACAATATTTCACCTTCCACCTCTGCAAAAAATACACTTCCTTGCTGAAAGTTAGGTAATAACATGAATATCATTTCTATATCTGGCTGTTGAATATGCACATACAACAGGGAGACACTTTGCTTAGCTTAGCATAAACCGTGGAGGCAGTGTCTAACTTGGCTCTGTCTAAAAGTACAGAGCGCCTTTAAAACTCCTAAAATGGCAACTGAAGTGTAAAACTACAGATAACTTTACAATTTTTGTACAATTAAGCAAACAAGATATACCATGTTAAATAAAGAGCTTTAATGGTGTCCATTAGGTGGTTTATTTCACCATGCTACATAGCCAGGCTAACTGTTTTCCTCCTGATTTTTTTGTTCCATCTGCTGGCTGTAGCTTCATATTCAAAGAACAGACATGAGAGTGACATTAAGCGTACAGTATGCTTAAAAAAATGTCCAGTAGGAAAATACAGTCATGTAATAAAAATGATAAGAATACACTCACAAACATGACACTCTTTTGACAGTCCAGAAACTTCTGATGTCAAATTTTCAATCTCTTGTGTATTTGTGTTTACAGCAATTATGTGCAGTTATAAGTCATATCACAGTCTTGCATCCTAAGTAGTTTGTGTATACAGCCCACATAGCAACGGTAGCTTCCTGTTGATTTTAGGATGACTTCAATCATGTCCACAGTGGAATAAGAGTTTTATGACTGGGTGAAACAAATGTACTGGTACCAACATACTAACAGTGTTTATGTCTTTTCCTTTTCATTCATATTATAGGTTCCACAATAGAAAAACAACAACCAAAAAAGATTTTAGAATTAGGATTCTCACTTTTATTGAACATTAAAGAAATGTCCTCAAGAAATTTCTCAGATTCAAGGCTATGTAATCTTTTTTCTACACTGATTATCAGTATCCGTTTTACTTCACTGGGACAAAAATCCCCTGTAAGGCCCTAGTGTGTCTGTCTTGTCTGAGCCTTGGGCTTCCCTCCACAAGACTCAACAGAAGCGCAGGGGGTCATGGCTACATTGACCCCTTTGCTGTGGCTCAACTGGAGCAATGTAAGTTTATTAAAGAAAACAAATGCAGAAACTCAGTGCTGGACAAGATATTATGTGATTTCAACATGCTCTGCATGCACTGTCTTAGAAGTTAAACAAGGACATTATACTCAATGGGCTACATTTTAACCTGCAGATATCGCCACTTAATGTCTCAGACCTGTGCCAGTCATAAACGTTTAGCTGGCAGAGAATGTGAATCCTGCTTAACAATAACTTGATGAGCCAGCCTTTGTTAATGCTCCAGCCACCATTGTTAAAAACAGTCAAGCAAACATATACAGAAATAATAAGCCGGAATATCAAGTGCTATCTTTACAGTCATATGCCTCTGCTAAGGATTAGGCTCGTGTGTGATGCACATCTGGATCTGATAGATAGAGTACTTTATTAATCCTAGAGGGGAAATTCAGGATGATGGCAGAGCTTAGAGTGAGACATGTCTAATCCCTGAGGACTTTCATTCCAAAATGCCACATATCTGCTTCAGGGGGAAAATGCTACTTGATATTCATTGATCAGTATTTCCAACATGCAGCATCTGCATTTGCATGAAAGTGTAATCCTCCTGATGTCACATAATTTCTGTACCATTCCATTCATGCAAAGAGAAAGTCAACACTCATGCCCAGTTAAATGATAAATACCATATTTTGTATCATAATTTTTCACTGGGACAACTGGAGACTGATTACAATACATATGTGTATACAGAAAAACTACAGAGATAATGAATGACAGGGATGCTTCCTCGACATACTAAATGACAGCCACTCAATTTGTGCTTTTCTAATTACTGCAATTAATGTTTGAAATAATTGCAGCTATTATACAAAAAACTGATATAATATAATAGAGTGACAGTTCAATCTCACGTTTTGGTGACAGTTGCAGTGGTAAGGTGTTCAAATTCATATTTGCACTATGGTGCCCCCTGTTGTAATGCCACAGCCTCATTACTGGCTGTGTTTGCACCAGTAAAAGTAGGGTATGGATACAAAGATTTACAAAGCGTGACAGCTAAAGAGGAGTTTGTATCCTCTTATGTGAACAGCCTGAGCTAAAAAGCACCTGAATTATAGTTCTACAATGTGTTAAAGTGAGCTGAAAAGTCAAACTCCTTATGAAATGAAATTGAGAGAACTCTTAGATATTACATTTAATTTTCCTTCACACTGTTGGAAAAGACTGCCACATGGCAAATGAAAAACAAAATGTAAGTCCTACTTTTCATGTTAATGAGCGGGTTAAAAAAAATAAAGCGGAACCTCTCCAGAGCATTTAACCACCCTGCCAGAATTAGATTTTCCAGTGATTTCATCAGTGGATCCATCATAGTCTGAACACTGGCAGCAGGGCTCACTATCTGAGCAGAGCACAGCAGCTAGTCTGTGGATGATAAAGCGTAGTAGAGTGAGGGAATGTCTCATTACAGCCTGATAAGGGCTTAGTTAACTACTATGACTGTTGCACGTTATATTTACAGTGACATATCAGCCTGTGCAATTGAAGCCATGATTGGCAAGTGGTGTGTTCCTATCTGATTGCAATGTTTTTTTTTTTAAATAGGAGCACTCATGAAAAGAAGCTGAAAGGATGACAGACCAGTGTTTGCTGTGTGAGAGTTACAGGCAGTTACACTACGTCTACACACAGTGTCTATCTCACAATGCCCATAGATAATTTGTGGCACCTTTAAGCAGTAACAGATGAACTTTTCCTGGACTCAATATCTAAAATCATAATCTCCAAAAAGATCTCAAATGCTTAACAGTACCTTTTAGAAAACACAAATAAGATCTGGAGTTTCGTTTTTCAATGTTGCAGACAAAAGGGAAAAATCATCAAATAAATCATAGTTCAGCTGTAAAGCTGCAAGTACCGTTATAAGCATTGTGTGAGTGTGACACCTGCTGGGAGTCACCTCTGTTCTGTTGACATCTGCCAAGTCTATCTCTCAAAATGCGTCACGACGCGTCTGAAGCAGACTGGATATATGCAATAGCTCCACATCCAGACTACACGTGTATCTGTTTGGCGTTCACACACAGCCTTCTAACAGGAGCCACCCAGGGGGTGCATTCCTGTCTTTTGTTTAAGGAGGAAGAGGAAACCTGTCAGGAAAAGATTGTGCAGAACGGGAAACTCGCATGACTACAGAGCCTTTCCTTTGTTTTAACGAGCATGAATGCAGCTAGCAGCCAGTCCAAGGATTAAATGATGATTACATTAATTCACACAAGTTCTTGATTTTTTACAAATGTCCAGGCAAGGACAGGCAAATACTCTTACAGCACGGGATTCTACCCCCAGACATCATAAAACAACCACAACTCTATGAGCGGCGAATGCAGGGATTTAAGTGACTATATGCAGCCTGACATTTTTGTCTGGCCAACGTTTAGACTCTTCCAAAAGTCACACCACACCCAGCCGCCACAAAGCCGCAACTTTAAATTTCCGAGAGAAAACAGATCACATCACTTCTCAGTAACGACACGAGCAAATGCAGATGCTGAATTCTTCCGAGTTTACCCTTGTTAACCGGAGGACACAAACCGAACGAATAGCAGTATAATCTGTTAGGGACTTGCCATTCAACATCTGGTGGCTGCAGCCATAATGCATTTGGAATGTGACTGCCGGGGCCCAGTAGCCGCTGTTAATGTAGAACAGCGTTCTTCACTACCAACATGCCATTTCAAAATTGTTGTGTAACTATACAAGGAACAAGCCAAGGTATCATTGTGAAGCCTTGCGGTTCAAAGTGTTGCAAACTGAGCAGTTGCTGCGTGAAGTTACCAAATGACAGCTTTGACCAAATTCTCTGCCTGACAGCGGTGGCAGAGCGTTCACAAGAATAGCCAGCAAAAAAGAAAGATTATGCCGTTTTAAACTAGTGCCAAGCTATCACAGATTTTTGACCCAGGACAAGCTCTTCGGACCTCGCCGGGCGATGTGCCACACCGCAATTGCGCAGCTCGACACATCGTATCCAGCAGTACATCCAGTCATGGCTATTGCTCAACCCCCGCTGCCTAGACCAAACCAAATCGTTAAACTGGTGGATTACAAGCACTTATATGAAAATACGTCTACAGTGTGATGTTTGAGACATAATACCCAAATCCTTTGTGCCTTCCCAGACGTGCGTAATTGTGCGCTTGGTCCCCTTAAACCAAAGCGTGATTCAGATTTAGTCTTGAATCCACACCGCAGCGTATCCTCACAAACATTTAGCTTTTAAAAAAGAAACATGGATACTTTTAAAGAAAGAAGAATAAGAAGGAAACCTGGTTACCGCTTTCAGACCGAGAGAAAAAAGCCGCTCATCGTCGTCAGACTGGAGCTCCCAGCTCTCACACAACACAGAGGGGCATTTCAACCCATTGCATAAAAAGGAGGCGCAACTCCGTCTCCCACAAACTCATACACCCCGTTCTCCACCCTTACCTTAATAGTTCCATCCATTTTGCGCAATTTTCAGCGGACCCCGACAATATCCCAAACATGACACGCTCCTGAATTAATTCCAGCCCCCGGTATGTGGCGAACACACACTTTTACCGGATTTTTTCTTTCCTCTAAATTTGGGAAGTGAAGTCACCACTGTTGAGAAGGTTGAGAAGGAAGCTGTGTGTCACCGAAAGCCCTGCCTTCAAAAAAGCAGGATACTGTCCCAGAGAGATAAGCAGGGAAAACAATTGAGTGTTCGCTCCGCTGTTATGTTTTTCTGCTCGGAAATATTTACAGGATGACTGCCTGCGTTGCGCAGAGCGGTGTAGCTTTCTGTAGAATAGTGTTATGTGTTTGGGTTTCACAGTAATGCAGATGGTGTAGAAGGGTTTTCTGTTTGTTCGAAGTATGAATTATCTTTACACACATTTAACTGAGGTTTTCTGGTATGGCATTTGTTATCGCAGGACAAGTGATATGTGATTTCATGTTTTAGAAAAAGTTTGGTTCATGCCTTCAGACATGCATCTGGTCATCCTTTCATCTGTTTGTTTTATATTTTATACTGAAAATGGTACATTCAATAAAGTTCGCCTTTCAGTGTGAACAGACGTCTCTGAGACCTACTACTGACAGGGCTCTAAATCGAAAGAGGAGACAAACCTGGATATCTATGACAGAACTTGTTGCAACCTTGTCGTTTCTCTTTTTTCAGCCATACGTGAAGCAGTTTCCCTGAGACACCATTAATAAAATCCAAGGCTTCAACACCTAGCCGCACTAGTCTGAGGGTCTACACGTGTGCGTCTGCACAGGAGTGAATGGACGAAATGCCTTCATTAACAAAAGCGCACTTAAAAAGCAACAGTATCATTATATTGAGTCTGCTTTCTCGCTACTCGCCTGTCTTTAAAAAAAGGAAAAAGAAATCCCACCCCACCACCAGCACACGTAGTTTTTCTTTTCGTCTACCCCATGAAATTGCTCTCATCAGTTCAAGCATAATTTCGGTGCAGAGACAGACCAGACCAATAACACTGCAAGAAACGTCCATTTTAATCTATTGCCACATTCAACATTGCGGTGTTATTTTTTTTTCTGAAGACAAATTAACCATATGAATATTGTAAGTAAGTAAGTTTTTAAGAGATAATCCAAATTTAACTAGACTGTTATATTTTAATTGTTTCAGGGATTTTCTTAACAAGCTCGAGCTTACCCTGGAAAAATACAGGCCATTCCACCAGTATCAAGAAATCACTTTGGACGAAATGAATGTGCCTTACTAGACTGACAGTTTTATAGGGTTTAATAATATAATACAGCTTGAAGAGATGATGATGAATACTCTTTGCAATGTTTAGGTTCTGCTGAACGGCCTTAGAGTTACCAAACGGAGACTGCACTGCCACAACTACTGACAGCAGGGCCGGCCTGTCTGCTCTCCACTTGGGGGTCTGGTCGAACTGAGGGCCCCCACCCTTGGGACCACCACATCTGGATCCTGCTAAGGGTCAAGGCTTCTTGTGCCTGAGGCCAGTTCAGACTTGTGTAATTAAGGGAGACACCTTGTTTAACTCTTCCATGACTGTTTGGTTTCTATACTTTCTAGTGTGTGAGATTCGCATGTGTCCCTTTTCTTTTAGGAACCCTAGTGATAAAGTCACAAATTAAAGACCTAAGATGTGAGAGGGGTTCGTGGCCATAAATACACGCACCAACTATTCAATCCTGCAAGTACGATACTGTGATGTGCTTCTTTACTCAAATTTACCCTTTATTCCATCGTAAAAGTTAAAGTCAGTTTAGGATGTTTAAAAAAACCAAAGCAAAATGTTATGAAATACAGTTGCAAATTTAGAGGATGCTTTTCAAATGACACAAAATCCTCAGACAGGATTAGTCCCTCTTTGTAACCTGCAACCATCTACTGTAAGTCATAAAGCTTATTAGGAAGACTCGAAGACTGGGGGTCCAGGACCTACCACAACCATAATGAATACAGTGGTAACAAACATTTTGGAAGGCCAATAAACAGATGACGTTGGCTTACACAGTGAACCACAGAACATCTGGCTTGACGCTGGAACTAGACAGCCAGACATTTCTTCCTTACACCACGAGCCAGTAGCTCCCCTGTCTCTACGCTAGGGCAACCAGCCAGATGTGGGCGGACACTATGCTGAGTTTATGTTCAGCAGCCTTTTAATTGTTAAGCCCAGCCTTTGTACTTTAACTTACTGTATATGAAGATCTTCTGAATTTCTCATTAACACGAGAAAAGGTGAGCTTTATGTCTTTGAGGACTCGCGGACCTTTGAAAACACATCTGTCAAAAGCGGAAGATAAACAACAAAAAGGCTTTTTAATGAAGCCCAATGTGCTGAGTTTCGTTTCATGCTAAGGATAATTTGATTTTAAAAAGATTCTCATAACAAATGAACACGACAATTCACAAAACAAGTCGATATACTCGTGGAATTATCAGGCAAATCTTTTTTTCTTAGGCTATATTATGCTTTGTATCGCACCATATTTTTAGTCTGAGTTGAAGGTTTTGTATTTTTTTGAGCAATACTTGGTCATCGTTTGCTTAATCGCATGCACATGACCTCAGATGATTATTCCTGAAGTGGGAAATTATGTTCCCACCCCTGAATGCTGAGAGAAGCTTTTCAGTGGAGTGCTATTCCAACGAAGACATAGTCCCAGTTCCTATGAGCCTATAAGGCTAATTAAACTGCTGCCTTGTATTTAGATCATTCCTTCTCTTGGGCTAAAATGTTCGAGTCGGAATTCTCAGGGCAAAGGTCTGCTGCACATTTAAGCACGAACCGTCTGGCCCCTAGCTCTAGGCCATAATTAATTTGAGATTTATTTTTATTGGAGAGTTCCAGTCTCGCCTGGCCTTAACCAAACAAAACCAAATGCTGGGCCGTGGAATGAGGAATATTTCTTTTAAATTTTGTACTCAGGCGTGCCCCATTGTGACCAATATCTCCGTGAATGTGAGTGAGTAAGTGCGTGCAGCACTTGCATGCACAAATACACGCTATCCCCGACTCCGGGCACAATAAAGAATGACATTGAAGTCAAAACAAACAGAAATGATCTAGGTTGCATTTCCACAGCGAATCAAAGAAGCTATGAGCAGCAAACACTGTAAAAAAAAAAAGGCAACTCCAAAATTGCCTCCTGCCCAGGTCACGCCTTTGCTGGTCTCCTGTGTTTTTAAGAAGCAAAAAGCTTCATTTAAAAGCATATTTTCTCCTAAAACATTCCTCATTATTCAACTCCCCCACCACAAATCAGGAATTGTCCAGAGCCCTGTAACGCAGAGCCCCATGGGCTGGATGAAAAGAGTCCTTATTCAAAGGGGTAAGAAGTCTTCAAAACATTAACAAGTCGCCCTCGGGAACAAAAATACATTGATTTTGAAAATATTTCCGTAGCTGTCCTCTGCACAGTGGCTCATTTGAATGAAGCACAATCCCAGCAGTCATCCTGGACAGATTATTATGATGGATCAGAGCAAACGCCATACAGCCACTCGATTTCACAGACACATCTGCGAGCAAAGTGCAAGCTGAACCTGACACTGTGTGGGCATCATATGGTCTTACATGGTATTAAATCACAAAGAAACATTTAATGGTTGGAGTAGCTCAAATATGCAGCAGTTGCGAGTATTCACGCTACGCCATATGCAACGCCATGAAGTTTTTATGTTAAAACCAAATGTGCACTGTTCGCTTTATTTACATTCTCGGGTCTGTGGCAGAGAGAGAGAGAGAGAGAGAGGGAGAGGGAGAGGCAGAGAGAGAGGCAGAGAGAGTCGTGACGTCAAGCATAATAATAAGCCAGCAATATTTTTGGACTGTTGACAAAAAAAAAGGCCGCAACAGAGCCACATTTCAACAGTGGCTTTACAGTTTCAACACAGAGGCACTTCCGTCTTGGGGGGGGGATACCAAGGTGGCAATCAAGTGCAAAATACCCGCCATCTTCAGCAAAGGTATACTTAAATTACGTTATGATGTTGCAAAAATATTTTAATAAGACATTAAAAATAGTGAGGTATGGCATGTCACGTGAAATCGCTCGAAAACGCACTGTAATCCTAAGAGTTAGTATCGTATAGTATTTTTTTTTTTTTTGCTTAAGCCTTTAGAAATGAAAGGACCCCAGTTTCTCTGTCCAACATTACCTGATGGAAGAGACGGTGGTGTCTTACCTTGACGTAAGACGACGTGTCAGGGACGGTTTGAAACATGTCGACTTGACAGACAGGCCCAGGGGTGCTCGGCGTCCAGTGGACCCTGAGAAAGGAAACGAAAGAATTCAGTAAGAAATGCATTATTGTCATTATTATTATTATTGCACTTGCTGATTTGTCTTCAACACATCATTTGTGCTAAAATATATTATGCCTGTGTGTGTGTGTGTGTGTGTGTGTGGGGGGGGGGGTTCTTATTTCATATGTTATGTTTTTTTTTTATTGCTGTACCAACTGGAGGCCGCTCTAAAAAATTCGTTGTACGTGTTACAATGACAATAAAGGATGATTTTATCTAATCTTATTTACAGACAACATCCGGAGAGCACCACTGGGTCCACATGGTTAGCTACCACTTCCACTTTATGGACTCTTCTATATCTGAATGCACACTTCATACCTCCATTCATTCATAAAAAAGATTTTTTCCCAAACAGTTTTTTTAATATATTGCCACCCACGCATTAACAACACAGAAATGGAAATTACGCTAACCCACTGGTAACATGGATGAATTAGACTCCGAGTCGCCCAATAGGAGCTGGGCAGCAAGAATAATTGGAGGGGCCCATCCCAACCCCCATCACATTTTCCCCTGCTTACCACATATTGAAACACTTTTCGCTTTAATAAGTGCAGCTTACAAAGTCTAGGGTGAAAGGGCACTTAGAGGACGGTGTCTTTAGCCCTTCCCTCCATCTGCAATTAGGTAAGAAGGCAGTGGCATATAGGCCTACATCACAATCAGTTATTAGGTGGTGGTGTGACAAAGCAAATGAATGTATATGGACCTCAATATTGCAATTCAGGACGCACTGTTAAATGTTAGAATATTTCAACAAGGACTAGGGGACATCTGTCTCCTGTGCATGCTTTGAGCTGTCAGTATTATATATATACAATCATGAATCATTTTCCGATTCTCTTTTTTGGCATAATTATTGGTGGATGCAGATCATGGGCTCTTGTGATCTTAAGCAGGCTAAACACCTGACTGGAGAATTCAACAAAAAATAAAAATAAAAAGGGGTTAACATCACAAGGATCTATACCATTTCACAACCACTCAGGAGCTTTTCTTTTTTTAACACACTATTTCACGTTTCTGTTCAATTTCTACCCCCCGTATTAAGCCATGATAAATATAATAGGCAAAGAAAGGGGGTTATATATGCACGCAGTTTAAATGCTTGTAGGGGACCAGTGTTTTCATTTCATTTTATTTTATTTATTTTATTATTGTCTTCTCAGCTCCTGCAGACAAACTCGGGACTCGCCCCATAAAGTTCCCCAAATGCGTCCAGGTTCTGCGCGTTAAAAAGAGCAGAGGATTCCGCAGCTGCAGCCAATTAGGCAGAGGAGACCTGGTGAATAACGGCGCGAACCGTGCTCAGAGACAGCCCCGTGGGCCGGGACCCCTCTAGTGTTACATTTTAAGCATCTTACTTCGCAGTTATCCATCATAAACGAGAGCCAGTCGATTTCCAGCTAATATGCATTCCAATTGTTCCATACCTGTAAGCTTTCCTAAACTGAAAGTGCGAACCACAGTTCAGTATTTTTCGATTGCAAAAACTCATCCCCTGAAGAAAAAAAGCTAAACTTTGAATAACAAGTCCGATTTCACAAGACATTAACACAAAGGTTGATATGAGGGGCTACAGTTTAATTTCTCTACCGGAGTCATTTTGACACATCTACTCTCTGTCGACTGAGGTGCAATCGACTGCTTTTTACAATGTGACCATCAGTAAGGGTTGTACAAAAAGTGGAAATGATTTATTGTAGTCTTGCATGTACGCCTATGCTGCAGAGTTAAACGCGAATCAACATTTGCCATCTTTTCTCACTCACCTGTCGTTATTGTGTCGGTCGTTTGAGCTTATTCGATTTATTCACTCCTCCTCCAATTTTAAAGTAATTAGTTCCGTCCAGGCAAAGCTGTCTCCCAATGATGATGACAGTGAGTTATTTTGAAAGGGGCTGAAAAGGAGCGCCGGGTGTATGAATGGAAATGTTACTGAGATGGGAAAGTCGCGACCAATGAGCAGCGAGAGAAATCCTCCCCTTGCCTGCCGTGTGAGACCACTGAACCATGAAATAAGAGGGAAGCAGAGAGAGAAAGAGCGTCATAAATCTGCTTTATAAAGTCTTTTGGTGGAGAAAAGTGTCAATTCCCGAGCAGTTTTGTGCGTTCTTGGTATTTACAGTATTTTGTGGGAATGCGCAACGCTGCAAATATGTGAACAGCAGTGGTGCATGTAGATAGAAGAAGAAACAACTTAAAAGGCACCACAGACATCACTGCAAAAACAACATCGTTCTTTCCATGAACTGCGAATTTATGTTCTCTCACCTGTTCCACTTCCTTCCGCAAAATATCTGGGAAACTAAGTGCGTTGAGAGATGCTTCCTCATAATTACAGAAAGCATGTGATCTGACACATTTAGCCAAACAATAAAATGTCATTCACAAGAATCAAACTTGATTCAGAAAAAAATACAAAATCGTCTGGATTAAATAAACCATCATTCCCTTCATTTAAGGTAAGGATGGATAAACTCCAGTATCAACTGTTACTGGCAACAAATGTGTGTAATTTATTTTAATAATCAGTCAACAGCAGCTATCCAAGCAGACATTCACTGAGGTTTCGGTCTGTCCTCATGGTGACAGTTTCCGCACAAGAGCGACAGGAGTTCCTCTGCAGCGGGTTTGTCTTTTCCTGCTCAGTTGACCCCACTCAGTTCACTGACTTCATTTCCTTCACATTACTACCCTCATCTTCGACCAAGAGTCCCCCAAAGGATGTGGGGCAATTCACGGTGAGGAAAGTCGCCCAACCATTGCATTTTATAGCCTCATCAAGGTCGCTATTTCACGCAGTGCAACCAAAGTGAGCCAGAGAAGTCGTCTGCAACTTTTTGTAACTTTTTGCATTTGGGAATCTCTAAGACACGACATAGATAAGACTAATTTATGGGCTCCTTGCTGCAAGCATATATACATATACATACATATATATGTAAACAGTGGTGAAAAGTAACTAAGTACATTTACTCAGGTACTGTACTTAAGTACAGTTCTGAGGTATCTGTACTTTATTTGAGTATTTTCATTCTCTGTTCCTTCATACTTTGACTTCACTACATCTCAGAGGCAATTATTGTACTTTTTACATTACTACATATATTTTATAACTTTAGTCACTTTTTAGAACCAATTTAACACAAAGACACAGTATAATTACAAGACCTTGTTGATCTATGGTGGAAAATGCACAAGTTATCCAGCAGTCATTCAAACTAGCTCCCCCTTTACCAGCTGCAACATTAAATGTGATGTACACAATACTGCATCTGTAATTATAATCCAATACTATGATATACAAGAATGTGAAATGTGCCATTCTGTATAATGAGTACCTTTACTTTTAGTACTTTAAATATGTTTTGATGCTAACACTTTTGTACTTTTACTTAAGTAACATTTTGAATACAGGACTTTTACTTGTAACAGAGTATTTTTACACTGTGGTATTGCACCTTTTACTTCAGTAAAGGATCTGACTCAGATCGTCTTAGTACTTCTTCCACCACTGGTTGTTGTACCTCAAAGGGATCCAGAGGTAACTGTGATTACTGAGAGAAGTCCAGTCATTTCCAACTGTGTTTGTCTGTCCCAACGCCTCCTCTACTTTAACTTACTGATCTTAATAGAAGTTAAGTACTTCTTCCACCACTGGTTGTTGTACCTCAAAGGGATCCAGAGGTAACTGTGATTACTGAGAGAAGTCCAGTCATTTCCAACTGTGTTTGTCTGTCCCAACGCCTCCTCTACTTTAACTTACTGATCTTAATAGAAGTTATGTATCTTGGTTACAGTGGTGGCTCTCGAAGGCAATTCATATGCAGAGTCTTTGGATGTGATGCAAGTTATTTCAAGCAGACCCTCGTCCTCCACAGTGTTAATCGGCCTGCAAGCTGTAGGTCTCTGTTGCCTTTGGCGAGGGGAGGAGGGCTCTGCATCAGCTGTGTGCTTGGCTAGTAAGTGTTATTTGTGACAGAATGTGTATATGTGTTAATTGTATGTCAAAAAATTTGTGTGGTTAAAAGGAATTTGTGTTAACACATTGTTATTGTTTTAATGGTGACAGGCCTATTAAATAAATACTTTTTTATCCTTTATATAGTGGTTAAAGCATGATGTTTATGTAATGTCATGATGTAATGACATAATTCCTTGATTAATAGTGTAATTAGAAACTGGCTAATGTGTTTCAGAAAGAAATTCAGATAGGACATCATATTATGTAGAATAATGGTTCATAAGGGAACAATTTATTCAATATTATATAGACTGATTTCACCAATTTTTTACAGTGCTGGAGGTCATCTGGTAAAAAGGTTGCCTTTCATCACTGGCTAGACCCACTGTTTGTTGCACGGTTTCCTAATGCAATGATTAAGAACAACAACATTGATAATAGTGTTCCCAGCACAAAACAATGGACGGAAATCCCAACATCCGCTTTACTGAAAAATGGCATTCATGTGGCTGCTGTGTGGCCTTCCTGAGGATACAGTAGATGTTTTCTAACACATCTGAACAGCAACTATTAAATTCTCAAAAAGCATGGAAAAGAGCTAAAACATGGTATCTATACCTCCTATAACTACACTAAATAATTCAGATTTATAATTAATTAGTAGCACCTGTTTAGCAGCAGCACAAACCACTGTCAGATACAAGAAGCCTGTGTGTACAAACCTGCTGGCACTGATTGCTTTGTCCTGCTGTATGTGGCCACACCTTCTCTTATGTTTTATAGGGGGACGAAAGAAAATAACATAGTTATAAATCCAAGTTTTTGCATGGGTGTTTTGTCAAGTCTTGTTCCATCCAGTACTTCTTGTTTTTGAGTTTTGCCAAGGTAATGACATTAAATGTGAAATGTAGGCACAGGTGATTATGCCTCTTGTGGAGCGCTCCAACAAGCTGCTTGACAGTCTCCACTGTCATTCATGATATGCTTTAACATAGTTGCAAAAAAAATCTTGCATTATGCTTTAACAATCAGACTTCATTCCACTTTTTAGCAAGGTCAAACAATCTGCCATCAAGAGTTTCGCATATGCAGTCCACTGCCAGTCTTTCCTCACTGGTATGTTAACATTTCAGAGCTCCTTCTCTTGGGATTCTACGAAAAACACTTGCGTTTGAGATGATGTAGGCGACCTACAGGCATCTGAGATTACATCGCCTAGAGTAAATGAAGCTCCATACTCTGAACTGTAATGAGGCATTTATTTAGTTGAAGGGGTTCAGTGAGAGATGATCTAGAGATGGAGATCGGTCCAATTCGAGCCCTTTTTATTCGCTCCTCAGGGAGAGAAAAATGGCAGTGTGGCACCAGGGAAGGCAGGGCAGAATATCAAATCTTTTCACACAAGCTGCCGGGCAGTCCTGGGTCAGCCATGGAACAGCATGTTCACAAAGTGGAAGCCCTCTCACCTTAGCACTGGTATCATTTTTATGTGTAGAATTACAGTCTGAAAAGTCTAAGGGAGGCCTAAAGGAAAAATGAGAGATATAATTCATGGAATTTATGATAAAATGTTTGTGACACCTGTAGCTCTTGCAGGAAGGACTTAACCTGTGTAGACTGCCCTCTCTGAACACTTACACACAAAAAACTGTAACAATGTCAAAGCCAAACCGTCTTATGTCGTAAGAAAAGGTTAGAAAGTGGTTAAAAGTTCATCTAGTCATGCTAGTGTAACATAAAGATACAAAACCTTAGAGTGTAGAACACCAAAATAGGAAGAAACTTATCAGTTTACACTACCTGTCCATTTAAAATTGCTTGCACAAGTGCAGATTGCAGACAAGAGCCCAATTGCAGGGATAATTAGCAAGGGGAAGTATTAAATTAAAGCAAGGCAGTCATTTTATGAGGCAAGGATTTACTGTATGAAGGTAATAGCATCGCTATCAACTGACAACCTCCCAGTGTCTCCTGATGTGTTGCCACTCATCAGGTCCAGAGCAAAATCACACATCTAGTGTATGACCTGATTAATCTGTTCTTGGTATTCTTGCCCCCAGGGGTAACACTGAAATGAAAGCTTGGGAAATTGGATGTTTGGGGAAGGACATGTGGTGTCGAGACAAAATGCATGTTGTTATTACATACCATATGTTCTGGTATGCACCTAATCAAAAAAAAAAAAAGTGCTTAGGTCAGTGTCTTTCTTTGCTTTATGCATCTACAGTGTGTCCATAGATGTATAATTACTTTCCAGAACACCACAAAATACTGTGAATTGTTCTTCTCTGTGGGTAGGTACATGGATTTCCCAGACCACTTATCTTATTTCAGTTCAGCTGTGGACACACCCTGCCTCTACTCCAGAATGGGCATGGTAAACCAAGGTGCTCGCAATCTTGGTTGCCATCGGGAAGTCAGTCCTACATGAACAACATAAGGCTGAAATAAAGACCCTGGAAATGACTGCTCCTGTGGAAAAACAACGGGCATCTGAGACCAGGAGGAAAGCAGTTCCATTTAGAAAGCCTAAATCATCCCCTGAACTATAAATCTACTGACCGCTCATCATTCAGCAGCATTTTAAAAAGCCCTTAAAGAAAAACACTGAGTGAAATGAATATGCTGTCACCTCTCATTTGGGTCTAGCCCACTGGCTCAATAAGAAAAGTGTTGTTCCCTGGAAGGCTGCTAGCACAGCCCGAGCTCTCAGGTTTAGGGTTTACCCTTGTCCTGCATTCTCAAGGTTTTTTCTTTGAGGCCCGTGTCTCTCTTCCCTCCCCCACATCCCCCCAGACATGTCTGACAGGCTGAACTCGATGTGGGCTGCTCACCAGACTACAAAAATCATTCATCTGTGCCTTCAGACGGTCAAATCTGGATCTAATAAAGAGAGCTTGCCTATTCATCCTATTCATAGAGAGAGGTACTGCCACCTCTCACCACTGGAGGGCTCTCTGGCTCAAGCCAGA